TCTGTTGTGCTGTTGCACATACAATATTTTTTCCGGACATAATTAATTTCTGAAAATAAAGAAAAAAAAATATAGCAGCTACAGGTAACAACATTCGTTTTTGTTTAATCTAAAAAATATAATTTAAATTCTTATAATTTAATATATATTGCGTGTTTTTGGGAACATATGCAACTTTCAAAGGATATGAAAAAATTAAGACTTTTTTAAGTTTTGATGAAGAAAAATCTTTTTCTAACTTCTTCAGCTGTACCTGAAGAAGTTAAAAAAAAACTAAATGCCTAGGTGTTTAAATCAGTTCTGAAGTTCCACCTGCTCCGTTGAACCAAATTAATATAAATTTTGTCGATGTTATTATATTTATTATGCTCGTATGATCTTTTGACTTTATTTAATTATTGTCCTAATAAGACAACCATTCTTAATCACCGATAATAATACTGTATTGGAGCGTAATTCGGCACTTACAATTCATAAGCTCAAAAAGTTGTAAATAAAGTATTATTTTCATCTTGAAATCATTTCTCTTAGTTTGCCTAAATTTACACAATAAAATATTTAAGAATAAATCAAAGCCAAATTTCAGTTTTGACTCTATAATAAAAAGATAATGGATACAAGTAAAATTGAAGTTTTTAACAAATTTTTGGACAAATTTCTTGTTTTTGAAATTCAATACTATGAATAGTAAACGTGGAAAATATCAGCTTATAAAAATGTACCTTTTTTCGGAATTGAAATGCTTACTCTATCTAAAATATGCTTCAATTGATAATTAGAATACCATATTTACTACATTAACATATGGTATTGTTAATGTAGTAAATATGGTATAACACTACTTTAGAACAATTTTTTTTAATATGAGCTTTAGCTATCTTTTTATAAAATAAAAATGCCCACATACTTATAAATTACTCAACATGCTAATTTCTTTATTAAATTCACAATTTCTAAAATTAAAAGAAAATAAGTAAACATAACTAATTTGAAAAGCTTTTAAAATTCCAAAGTGTAGATGTTGCTTTTCGCAATAGACACTTATAATGTTATTTTAATCGTTTTTAATAAAATTTATGCTGCTTTTTTCACAGCGTAGTTTTTTCGTACAGGGTGTTTGCACATATTCGAACTTTAATATGCTTTGTGTTGAAAACTGCAGCCCATATCAAATTAATTATAAAATAAAGAGCAATTAATGACCAGTAAAATAAGCCCCCGAAATTACCCTATGTCACATGATACTGAAGTTATAATAATTTATTTGCATATATGCAAGAAAAAACTGAAATCTTTTTTTCAACAGGATATAGCTGTAAAACTAAATTCTCACCACTTTTTTAGCACTTTTTGAAAAAAAATTTTTAAAAATTTTTGAAAAAAAGTCCATCCGTCCGTCTGTCCGTATGTCTGTTTACAAAACTTCTACACCCTTGAAGATAGAAAGCTGAAATTTTGTACGTACACAGATCTTTACTAGAAACTTATTTCCGTAGAACAGAATTTTTACCTATCTCCCCCCTCTAGAAGTTATACCCCCCTTAGTTATGTTAATCCCTCTTTATATTAATTTTTGCTTTATTTCAGAGACTGCATGTATGCATCGTCCTAAATATATGCAATTCTAGAAATACCTTTGTATATGAATGAAAATAATTTTAATAGTGTGAGAGATATATATATGTATATAAAATCATCACTGAAAATATTTGCCATCTTATGCGAACACCCTGTCTATTTACATAATTTGTTTATTTTATTTTTAACCTTGACATTACAAAAATAAAAAGGCGTGGACCCTGCGTTTTTTGGGAAAGATACATACGTACGTAATGTATTTATGACGAAATAATATCTTTGAAGAATAATTTTTTTATTTGTTTCTTTTGGAAAAATGATGATTTTTCATTGCGAGTTTTGTAATCGAAAACTTAAGTAAAACCTGCAAAATTCTATATGAAAATAAAATTTGGGCTTTCTTGAACAACATACATATAAAAAATATGAAATCCAGCTTAAAATTTCAACTACAATTTTCATTAAATACAATTTCGAGTTTTTCCCGCATTTTTTTTGAGCAACCACCATTTTAAGATGTCAAGCAATAGAGAGTAATGGGAGAGAATTGAAGAGAATTGGTTTGTTGTTTTGAAATTTCGGTGTAAAGTAGTGTAATAAAAGTAGGGTTTTTATTTTTTAAATGCAGTTTTTGGGTAGTTGACTAGATTAAAAATGTAAAAATTTTATGTGAAAAGAAAATTTAGAATTAATATTTTTAACTGGTGGTGGATACTGGAAGTTTACAAAAAAGTATTCCAAAATTTTTATAAAGGTGATACATTTTTTTTTATACAGTGAATAAAAAAGAAATTGTGACATGCATATTATTAAAAAAAAAAATAGATCTTTGATATAATTTCATATAATTATGATGCGCGGTTCCTGGTTGTCTGTCCAATTAAAAAAATAAACATAATAAAAATGTAATTAAGAAACATATTCCAGTTTTTCAAGTTTTCCACTGAGCAGATTTGTAGGAAAGAATGGGTTGGGGATATTCCCAGAAAAAATTTTGAACCTTTTAAGAGTACTGGTGTAGCCATTTATATAATACAAAAATATCCTTTTATCCAAAACGACAAAAATGGCTTCGGTTAATTGCAGAAGCGATTTAACTTTGATATAGACGCACATTAATACAATTAATATAGCACAGCTGACAAAAACATAATGAGCACATATATTTATTTCAAATGTACAATTTTTCAAATTGAGGAAAACAAAAAAAATCTGCTCAATTCGTTATGTCACAAAAAAAGAAAAAAATATCCGATTTTATTTTTTACCTGTAGTGTAGTATTTTAGTGAAATCTCTAAAAATTTAACATAGTCCGGAAGATTTTTTTAAATCAATTTTTTAATGTTTTTATGACATAAAACTTTAAGAATGTTGTTAGCACTATTAAAGTAGAATAAGATTAAATTTAAAAAAGTTGATCTTGTGGTGACCAAATATTTGAAAAAAACTGATCTTTTGGCAGACTTATGATGTTAAAAGGCGTACTCTATAGACACCCTAAGAATATATATGTAAATTACATGTAACATATCAGATGTAAACTGTCGTTCTCTCAGGGTTTAGGCCAGTATTTTTGTCAGCCATGTCAACATTTCAAACATTTACGGGAAATTCCCAATTGTAAGCAAGTACATACATTATGTACTTCTATTTGGGAATTTCCCGTTTCAAAAAATCAATATCTGGTTAATTTGTATTTTTTTTTTCTCAGTCGATATTTTAATTATCCCAAGTGGTGGCAAATTAAATTAAAGTTGAAATCTTGTACACAATTGTAATAATATATGTATGTATGTAAATAAGTTTGTATACTAATTCCCGGTTAATAAAAATTCTTTTAATTTTCATTCATTCAAATTTCAAATAAAAAACTTAAATTTTTAGTTATATTGTAATGGAATCACTAATGATAATAACAGAAAATATTTTTATGGAATAATTTAATCATTACATACCTTAGAACAATATATATATATGCTATTTAAATAATTCAATTTACTATTTTAAACACTTGGATTCAATACGCGAGCAATGTAATATTTACTTTTAAAATTGTGCGTTTGCGTTTGCTTTCTATAACAAGAATGATCGAATAATGAAAAAATAAAAAAGCTTTACAACAGAATTCTGTTATAATTTGACATACATATTTAACTTTTAATAGTGTTAGCAATTATAATTATTTTTTATATGTATAGGATGTATTAACAATGAATTAAATTGTTTTTATAATATAATTTACATTCTATTCGTTTTGAAATACATAATATGTAAATATTTTCATATACTTATATAAGTAATATGAATATGTATTTATGCTTTCGGTTAAGAGTTCGAACAAAAGAGTTCTAATTCAGTTCGATAATTTAGTTATAACTTTTACGTTAATACATTAAATATTAAGCAGCAATTACTAGCTGTAAAATGCGTTCGAAAATGTCAGAAATGTAACGCAGACATCTAGTTTAAATTTTTTCGCTCCGCATGAGATTTTTTTTTTAATTTTAATATTTCAAAACTTCAGATTTAGATATTGTAGTGTAATTAAAGTAAGTTTTCTTTAAGTTTTTAAATCTTATTAATCACGTATGTATATTTTGTCAAAATTTTAATTTTCTTAATGTTATTTATGTAATTTTCGAACGACGGATTATTTAAAAATATTTCAGAATTTGCAGACTGTGTAAACATAACAAACTTGACTGAAGTATTTGTATAGTGTGTATCGCTGTGACTTATAAATATAAGTTCTTATATAAATTATTATCACTTTATTCAAATTCAAATTTTTATACTTTTAAAGTACAATTTTTGTTTCATCATGACGTTTTCATTGACATATTGTTTTTAGCAAGGACCAGGGTGTTCGGATAAGGTGATATAACAGTTGGGCGATTTTTTTTTGACTAATTTGGTCGCATGCAATCGTAATAAATGGTAGATATAAATATGCACATATTCTTATAATTATATGCTTTAATAATATAAAAATGGGTAAACTCTGAATTTTTTTAATATTTTTTTAATAGTTGAATTAAAATTTAACATTACATTTTAATATAATATAAAAATTAAAAAATTAAGAATACTACATGATTTACAAAATTACCAACTTTCATAAATTTAGTATTAAAATTTTGCTTTAAAAAATTATGTACACATAATATTCATATAGATTTAATGTTAGTACTAAAATTTAGATTTATCAAAAAATTAAAATAATACATTTAATGGCACTTAATGTATCACTTATTTTTGGAACTGTTAGATGTTTTAAAAAATAACCTAAAATTTCTATCTGGAAATGCTATTATGATTTAAATTTAAAAATAACTTCAAAAGTTAATATGTATTGTCAACAAGATTTTTGTTAAATTTACAAAAAATATAAGTAGAAAATAATAAAATTTATGAGTATGTACATACATTTATACATAGTTTAAGGGTTCTATTAGTTCTATTGTTTAATATTTTATATTGTCATTATTATATTGTAATTTATTTTGAAGAAAATTAATCAAATTTTCATTTTCACTCTCATTTGCATAATCTAAAGGTGTTCTTCCATATTTGTCAATGTCATTTATATTTAAATTAATATTCTCTACAAAATATTTAACAATGTTTAAGTTTTCAGAATAAACTGCATAATGTAACAATGTTCTACCATTAAAAGTTTTAATATTAGGCTTGAAATATTTTTTATCTAACAAATATTTTACAATTTCTAATTTGCCTCCTTCAACTGCACTATGTAAAATGGTTTCATCATTAATATTCCTGATATTAAAATTTGCATTTCTTATTTCTATATAATATTTTAATATATTTAAAGCTCCAATGCGACTAGCATAATGCATAGGAGTTTCATTATTTATACAAAGAGCTTCAGTGTTTAAAGTAGTTTCCTCTACAAGATATTTAACAATTGTTAAGTTGCCCGACTCAGATGCAAAATGTAAACTAGTTTTACCATCAAGATTTTTAGCATACACATCAAGTTGTTTTTTTATTAAATATTTAACGATGTCTAATTTTCCGCTTTGAACTGCGCAATGAAAGAGTGTTTCTTTTGATGTATTTCTAATATCGGAACTGAAATTTTTATTTTCCATAAAATATTTTAGAATATTCAAATTTCCAAAACGAATAACATCATATAAAACTGTTTCCCCACAATAATTTTTAGTATTAGACTTAACGTCACTTTTTTCAACGACATACTTTACAATATCTAAGCTTCCTGATAAGACAGCATAATGTAAAGTATTTTTATTCCAAAGACTTTCTATATTCGGATCAATTTTTAATTCTTCTATAAAATATTTTAAAATTTCAAAAGCATTGTATTTAGCTGCATAATGCAAAGGTATTTCATTTTGATAATTTTTCGAATTAGGCTCACAAATTTCATTTTCAATAAGATATTGTACCAATTCCAATTTTCCACTAAATGTGGCATAATGTATAATTGTATCCCCGTATTTATCCACTGAATTAAATTTAATATCGGGAAAGTTTGCCATAATATACTGTAAGACATCAATTTTACCTGATTGAGCAGCGCAATGTAATAAATTTCTTTTAAAACAATTTTCATTTTTTGAATTTTCTTGTTTCATCTTTTCAATCAAATGCTTTATGATATTTAAATTACCCATCTCAACAGCACAATACAATAGACTTGGTATGAAAATATCATAAATATATTTATGATTATTATCTGTATTCTTATGTTTAGAACTTATCATTTCAAGAAAATAATCAAGTATTTCAATTTTTTCTGATTCAATTGCGTAATGTATAGGCGTTCTTCCAAACTTATCTTTGTCATACATACTAAATTTACGTTCTTCTATTAAATATTTGATAATATGAAAATGACCAGCGCCAGCAGTAATATGTAAGAAAGTTTCATTTGGAATATGATAATCAAATGCGTCAATTTCGTTTTTAGACTTATAATCTATAATTTTGTATTGTTCATTACTGCAACAGATCGGTATTCTACCATAAAGATTTTGAGAATTGCATTGAAAATTTTTTACTTCTATTAAGTGTCTTACAATATCTAAAAATCCGAATTCGCAAGCGTAATGCAATATATTTTTGCCATAAATATCGTTTTCATAAACTTCATCGGACATATAGTCTACCAGATATTTAAACGCTTTATATTTTCCTTTTCGAACTGCATAATGTAAAGGAGTTCTTTCATGAAAATCTTTTACATTTAAAAATTTTCGATTGTCTAGCAAAAATTTTAAAATTTCTATTGCATCATTCTCAGAAGCTAAATGTAATATCGTACAATTTTTATAATTCTCTTCATAATATTCTTTTGTACAATTTAAAAACGAATACATATTTTCTTTTAAGCACAGATTATGGTTGGCACCCAAACTTAATAAGAGTGCAGTGCTTTTAAAATCATTATTATAAATAGAATAAAATAAGAGTGTACCATTCTCATCATTTTCAGCATTTATAAAATAATTTAAGTTCTCAATATTTTTAGTTTGTAATGAATTATATAAAGATTCTGTATTCTTAATATTCTGAAGAAAATTGATATATGATTCGTGTATACCATATAAAAATTCTCGAATTTCGGACAATATTTTAAAATTATTTATCACTTGTAAATCGTTTGCGTTAAATTCTTCGAAAATTTGATTTAGTACACTTATATTACCATTTAAAAATATTATAGATGATAAATCCAGTAATTCATGATTAATTTCGATATTTTCAATTTGAAATATTTTTCGAATTATATTGGCATCGGAAATATTCTTATCAGTATCGTAAATTTTATTTTGAAATTCTTCAATTACACCTAAAAATTTCACAAAATTTTTAACTTTTTCCCTAATTTTATCGCCTCTTAGATGTCGTGAGTAAAAGTAACTAAATGGGCTAATTCCAAAATATTTTCTTAGTGCTTTCTCTTTTAGAATAATTTTTAACAATTTACTAGAATTTTGTGTTTCAGAAACAGAAACATTTTTGAAACATATGTTTTTCTGTAGAATATATAAATCTTTGGCTATATCACCTGAAACCAATTGAATTTTTTGGTTTATGTCATATTGTAAACACAATTCATGTTCAGTGAAAATGATTTCAAATCCTTTAAATTTAGCAGAATTTGTAATACCATCTATAATTAGTTTCATTATTACCTGGGCAGGATCATATTTTTCATAACTTTTTTCACAAAATTTTCTTACTTCATTTAAAAGATTAAAAATGTCATTCAGATTTTGAACATATTGCAAAGTCCCAATACCCTGTTGTACATCCAAATGATGATAACCTATACCACATTCTAATAATTTTTTTATCAAATCAGGTAAATTACAAGAAATCATTTGACTGTCAAAATTTTTAGTGTTAGTAGTAAGTAAAATATTTATAGCATTTGAAAAATCTAAACCTTTTTGAATTGCAAATTCAATAATTTTTTTATCATATTCCACAAAATTCGTGACCAAAGTTCTTATATAATTATTTCGAGTATGATGCATATATTTGTTCAATCTTGCAATATCAGTTTTCTCTATCAATAACATAATCACATCTGATGGAGCTTTTAAAGCTATACTTCGATATAATGGTAACTGTTTTATATCATATAAATCAAATTCCATACCAATATTTAATAAATTCAGTTTCAAAAATATTCGTAATATATCAAAATTTTTTTCTATAAATAAGAAATCCATAAATGTATGTTTGTCCATATCAAACCACCCGTAGTTATAATGTAAATTTTGAGAAAGTATTTCTACAATTTGCAAATGATTATTTTTGGCTGCCATCCACACTGAATTCGATTTCCATTTTTGGGTCTTTAAATTATCTTTTAGAAAGTCGATAGGAAATTTTTTAACAAAAATTTTTGTAAGCTGTACACAACCGAGCTCAGCAAAAATACATAATAAATTTATACCATCATTATTTTTTTTGATACAGTTAATAGCATCAGTATTATTCAGATAAATATTGAAATTACCATTCAATAATGTACATTCAATCAATTGCCATAAATCTTTTATATCTATATTTGTGAAGTTATTTAAAATGCTTCTAGCAAGAAGTTCTTTAAATAGAAAATCATATTTAAGTTGATCTTCAATTATATTAATTTTTCTGTTTAGTAAATCTTTAAGCGCAATCGATTGAAAAAATTTGTAAATCTGACCGCCAATTCCATGTAAAATTTTATGCATAAAACTTTCGAACTCATTATATGAAATTGACTTGAATTTCTCCCACAAATAGCGTGCAATGAAATATTCTGCAAATGTACGGTGAATAAAACGTGGTCGATTGTTATCAACTGTAACAATGATTCCTATTTTTTCATCAGCAACTTTGAGTTGTTTCACCAAGTCATTTTTCATATTAATTTCACTTTCGGAAAGATAATATGTTATATATTTTTCTAAAAATATTTCAAAAAAAGCCAATATCATATGACTTTGGAAAAATTGTTTGCGTTTTTCCCGAATTATATTTTGCGTCATTGGTGAGTTGATTTTCATGTCATTTTTCTCAAAAAACTTTATTAATTTAGTTTCAATAAAACCCTCATAAAGTGAACATAGGTCTAATTTAATTTGCAAGTTTTGCTTTATGCAATCAGAAATTGTTTCATCTCCAGATTCATAAAAATCTTTAAATATATTTTGAGTAACATGAGCAACCATATTTGTGTGTAGAGGTATACCCAAAAATTCTTCCTCAGTATTACTAATAGAAGCAGAAAATATTTTAATCAATTCATTGAAAAATACTTTGAAACGATTTTCATTAAGCTCTGCAATATTCAAACCATCTGCCCAAAATTTTTTTAAGTATTCCATTTGTTCATTAAGTATTAATGGTTCTAGTTGATAAGAGAAACAGGATAGTGCATCTTCTAATTCATCTAAGATATTGTAATTACGGGTACTTATCCATAATCTTTCTATACTAAAATTTATGCAAATTTGAATTAGTTTAATAACAATATTTTTATAGTTTGGAGCAATTTCGTCGAAGCCATCTAATATCAAATTAATTCTACCGTACTTAAAAAAATCCATACACAATGCTGTTTCCAAAAAATTAAATGATTCATTTATTATAATATTTGATGCTATTTCATTATGGTTGCTTGAATGAGACTCAAGAAATTTTGTAAAAATAGAATTTTGGTTTCCAGTTTTATCAAATGCATTCATTGTGTTGAAAAGGAATTTTAATACTTCATTCTTATTAAAATTTGTTGGATTTGAGGTCCAATCTTCAAAGAGATCTACATAATTTAATAAATTAATTCTTAAAATGCAAGAAGAAGAAAATGATCCTTTCATTTCTATTATTAATTTTGTTAAGACCGTCGATTTACCTATTCCTGGCTCTCCTGTCAAAATTACTACCTTTTCTTGAATGTCACTAATTTTACTTGGTGTAAAATAAGTTATTTTAGTATCTATGAGTTGACGAAGTTTTTTTAAACAGCCTTTTGATCTTACCCATATATAATTTTGATTTTCAGTTTGCTTTAGCCAATGTATGTTTAGGTGATGAAAATTTTCACAAAGTTTTTCAAAGTGCTCAATTGTGTCAGAAATTACAATCAATTCTCCGTTCTCTCTTTTGCTCAATTCTGCTTCAAGAATATCTAAGTCTAAGTTTTCGCAGTTTTCAATTATTACAAATTCAGGATTTTTACCACGTTTTGGAAACTTGATATTAATTTTACGACTAAATCTTCTTTTAATGTAGTATTTTTCTGTTCTTCCAAGGCTTTCAAGCTCCCTACCAATTTCTATAGTTTTTTTACTTATTAACTGATATAGCGTTTCCCCGTATATAAGCGGTCTTAAATTGTCCAATGATACGATCGATTTAAGTTTAATTTCTTTACCTTGAAATACAATATTTTTTTTATCTAAAATATTGTTTAATGAACCAATGGTAAGATCTGTGAAATTTTCACTTTTATAATCTATTTTAAGACGTATATCAGCTGGAATTTTCGAATTTAAAAAATTATTACTAGGTGCTACAAAAATTACTTTTTTTGTGGTATTGCCCAAAACAAGTTCAGATAATTTGTTGCAAAAAATTTCCGTTCCATATCTGTTATTAATATTTTTGTATTCGATTACTAGTAAATTGGTTGAACCCCGAAATGCTTGCATTAGACGATTTTGAAGATTTAAAGCAAATTCTACATCCATTAATAAATAATTTTCTTTTGATATAGTTCTTAAAATTTGATTAACTTTAATAACGCTCAAATTTGTATAAATAGTTTCGATATTGAGAATTTGTTTCTGAGAATTAAGAAAGTTTTCCATATCAACAATTTCATTATTATTGAGATTATAGACTATTCCAAATTTGTCCAAGTTTATTCTATAGTTCTTGTTTATACCAACTAGTTCTAATTCACATATTTTTTGTTTCATTTCTTCGAGTAACTTTTTTATTTGTTCATTAGAAATGTACTCATTTCCAAACCCCATTGCCCATCTTAATACATACTGATATAATGAATTGAATACGTAGTCAGCTTCAATAATGTTTAACTTCTCTCTCAAATCTCTTTTAATAATTTTACTTAGAAATTTTTCACTTGGTTGATCAACGGCAAACACTAAATGTTTGAAAAAATTTTCATCCACTTTTTCTTTTAGGATATGCTTAAGTATTTCAGTTATTTTGTTATTAAATTTAACTCGTTGCGGTTTTTTACTTAAATTTATAAGTAAACTTTCATTTAAATCTAGAATTTCATCTTCCGTTTGCACTAAAGTTAAACATTCTCTGATTGTAACAGATTTTTTTGTATCTGCTAATGTAAACGTGTCATCCAATTTCAATCCAATATTCGTACAAATCATTAGATTCTCAATGGTATAATTTTTAAAAAATTCACAATTTTTCATTTTTTGATAGTATCTATAATATTTAATTAAATTGAAGTCCCCTTTTAAGTTATGTTTATTGAAAAGATCTTTAAAACTTATTTCTACAGATTCATCTTCCTTATGTTTTACCTGAAGTAGACGATAAGTTTTTGTATTATTTTTGGAAATTTCTAGAATTATATCATCAAACTTTTCAAAGTCTTTCTTTTCTGTTGTTAATTGAAAAGTGTATTTGTTAATTATGCTACGGATTAGAAAAAACATTAATAATATTAATTGATAAGCATGCCCATGCAATCCGGTAATTCGGTTTGATCTTCTTTCTCGTTTGCAAAGAGGTTCTGAAGGATCATTCAGTTCATTCAAATTACTTAATTTAGAATTTGACGAAGGATTAAGGATATCGAGAGCCCCAAAATTTTCCATAACCATATTTTTATTGAAAGAATTTTTGACTCTACTTGTAGACGAATTAAATGAAGTATTGGAATTTACTACTTGTTCCTTTATCACTTTCTTTCTTTTGATCTGTTCTGAAGAAGGAAGTAGTTGAAGTTGTATCTGTTAAAAATTAGAACATTGGTATGCATTTAATTTAATATGATACAATAAATTAAAAAATTTCGAATTACCTTAGCAGTTTTGACACTATGAAATTTATTTAAATTTGCAAAATATTTAAAAATGCTCACTTCCTCATGAAACCGATCAAAATTTTTCCTGTAAAACAAAAATAAACACTTCAATTTATGTGAAATGCATCTACGTAATAAAAACATTAGAAAAATTATGACTTACTGAAATGATGAGGAAGACTGTTGCAGTGACAAGATTTTATCTGCAAATGACCTATTTATTTCTCTTAGATCTTTGATTTTTAAACTTCCCCAGTAAATTTTGCAATCGTCACCTAAATGAAAACAAAAACTTTAATAATCTTCATTTAATCAATAACAATGTAATACAATATGCACAATTTAAGGATTGTTATTATTATTTAGAAGGTTAATATTGAGATGGATACATATACCTATGTATCTTTGCACATTGTGAAAAAACTGCATGGAAGTGTAATTGGTTCTCAATTTCATTTAAACCGTAATATGTGTTTGAATTTTACAATTTGTACCGTTAGGGTATGGCCTACCTTACTAAGCTAAAAAAACATACGTAGATAATTAATTTGAACGAATTGAGCTCTTATATTTAATATTTTTGTACTATTTCTAAACTAAGCTCAAATTCGGTTTTGTTAGATACAAACTACAAAAAGGTATCTATTTAATAATGCAATTTGCTTTTCAAATATTTTAGCAGTTCTTCGTTTTCAACTTACATGGAATTTTCATTGCCTTCGATATTTTTTGCCAAGATGCATCTTCATTTCTGTATTTCAAATTGTTAATATTCCAAATTTCCTCATTTTCTTCGATCAACTTAATAAATTCTACTTTGTTTTCCTTATTAAAAATAGGTTTAGACTGTTTCTTTTCATATTGGCTTTCTACTTTTCTAATTTTATAATCTGGTTCATCTTCCATTTTAAAAGTTTGATTTTATTAGTATTTATATTTGGTTTGATTTCATACTTCCTGCAAATAAATAAAATTAGTTAGATAAATAGGTAGGCCAAATTTATTGCAATTTTAATAATGCATATATAATTGTATATGTATGTACATTGTTTGTTAAAAACAAAATCAAAAACATTTTGCGACCTACCCAAATCGTGGTTTATAAGATGTAGTTTCTCTACTATAATGTTTCAAAATAACTCTTATCAAATAGATATCTTATCGATGATAAGTTATCCTTATATTTTAATTTTAATCTATCGCAAAACAATTAAACTAATACTATGAAAACTAGATAAGATTTATTGACCACGGCTGATACTTTTGTTATGTCAAGTTGGAAAAGGAAAAGTTTAATCTTATTTTTATAGATGTACATATGTAGGTGTCAGGTACATTGCCATATGAAATGTAAAATTCATTGCTGTTTTATTTTTACTACCAACTCATATACTGAATCCTTATGAAAATAAAATTATACGAAACTTAATTCAAATATTTCATTGCTTTTAATTTTATTTAAATATGAATTTATCTAGGTGCTCATTTACAGGGAACTTTGTTCCTGAATTATTAATTGTTTACATTCTTACTTGTTGTTTATTATTTAGTTATGCACTGATTACACTTTTAACTACAAAATTCTGAATGAATTTTAAATGGTTAGGTGCAATTGAAGGACACGAAGTGTTTTGTTTTGAATACTTTGACAGTTAACAAATTGTATTGCTTCATAAATCGTATTGTCAAACTTAACGATTATTTGACGTTAAGTTTATGGTTCTTGACTTTGCTAATTCCCTTTAAAATGGTTTTTTTTTTTCAGTTTTATTCAAATTTTAGGAAATTTGTTTGGTTTTTAAAATTTATATAAAGTTTACACCGGTTTATTAAAAGCTTTCTAAGAAGTTTAATCAAGTCTTAGCTTTTTTAGACATGTTTTATTCATTTTTAAAATTAGAATAATTATTTCCTATTTCTTTTTAGTACATAATTTTTCTTGAACATGCCATATGGTTTTTTCTTTTTTGGTACATTTTATTTTGAATGAAAATTTCGATATTTTTTTAAATCCAACGCATCGACTAACATGAGAAAATTAAATTCATGCTAATCAAAGACCTTACAAGAACTCGAAATATATGAATCTCAGATGCCAGATTAGAGCAAGTTCCAGCTCGAGTTATAGATATAATAAATATATCTAAGCAAAAAATTGAGCTTAATCACTGGCGTTTTTAGTACTGAGTTTTAGTTAATATCCTGACAAAATCTCCGAAAGAAATAAATTTTGCTGACAGCTCGGCTTGATATAGCGAGTTGTTCTGTTGACCAAAATATATAAGTAACAATTTTTTTTTTTACTCATTAAGTACTAAACATTTCATTCGGAAACATTTATCGCGACGTAATATGTAGGTATAAAATTTGAACGTTCAAGCATTTTTGGTTTTATATAAACTGTTTCAGTGTATTTTTGTTGTTCAGTTATTTCTCTTTTTCTTTGTTTTTCTTACATAATTTACCGTTTTATTTTATTCTTTCATAAGTTAATTATTGATTAAACAGTTACACGTGACGTAACATATAAATATATACATACACATACATCCTGTCAAATATGTGATAATATCAGAACATATGATCTTACTTAATTATTGTAATAGAAATTAATGAAAAATCTTTAAATTTTAAGAAAACGAGAAAAAATTTTCATTGTTCCTTTTTTTCTTTATCACTTTTCATGTCTCCTTAATTTTTCTTTTATTTTTTTGTTAATTTTTCATGTTTTGTTATTGTATTTCTTTTTTCTTTTCGTTCTTGGCTAATTTAACGTTAGAACCATAATATTATAAATACTCGTTTTTGTTTTTAACTCTTTGTCAACTTTTTTGATATACTCGGTAAATTTTTTGAAAAAATGTTGTGTATAGGTACTAGTAAGTGTCATTCTTTTCTGTATTCGAATATTTATATATTAATTCAAAGATCACGTAGTTAAAACTTAAAGAGAAAGAAAGTACAATATATTTGGAATAAAATTTTCCAGTTATTTTACTATCTTTGTTCAATTATAATTTATTTAGGCTTCTAAAAATCGCTCTATCTGTTTTAGTTTTGCCAAAACTGATGTCTTCTAGTTTCGTATATCATTTATGAAAATCTCTATTAAGTGCCTTAATTGTACTATTTAGATATTACATATAATAATTTGTATTCTTTTATATGTTAAATACTCGTATGCTATAAGGACTTGAAGTAAAAAGCTATAAGGACTTGAAGTAAAAAGCTACAAGGACTTGAAATTTTGAATATTAGTTTTCACTTTATATGTCTCTTTGTCTATTTGTATGGTGTTAAAAGTCAACAAAACGCATTGTTGAGTTTTAACACCAGTGGTTTATGAGTTTAAATGTTCAAACTGAATTTTATGAAGGCTATTCGAATAACATTACTGCAAATTTAGTAATATTATTTAAATTTTGGTTTCTGTTTATATATTTATGTATGTACATATGTCTGAAAATCTTGGTATTTTTTATTTCAAGGTATTTGTCTTATTTTTCTTTAAATTATAATTAACTTATATTTAATTTGACTATTGAATTTTTGATTGACATTATAATTCTCTTAAGTTTTTAACCATATTTTAATTAAAAATTTTTCAAAAAAAAAATTGTTTTAATGACAAATTTTAAAAAATAATAGTTCATAAAAAATTTCATAAAATGTCAAAATTCAAAAAGTTTGACAACTTAAAAATTACAAAATAAAATGTCAAATCTAAATTATTTTATGAAATTTGATGCAGAAAGATATTCTAAATTTTCTTAATTTAATTTACAAGAACACCAAACTAATTTACTTTTACTTCAATTAAATCAAATTTTCACAAAAAAAAAATCGGCGTAGTTCTTCCCGTGAACCAATGTAACCAGGATAGTGGAGCGTATGTAGGACAGTGGAGCTTGTATAAGACAAGAGTAAAATTTTAATTTTTCATTCTTTTCTTCTTTGCTTATTTTCCTCTTCAAAATTTTTAAAATTTTTTCACATTCTCATTTTTTTCTCTCTCTTCAAGTTTTAATTGAGATTAATTTTTTGTTTTTGCACTTGAAGTATACTGTTTTGACTTCATAATTGCGTTATAAAATTGATTATGATATTAGAAACAAAAAAAAAAGAAATTGTTATACAGTTAGAAGATGAAAAGAATTGATAAGAAAACTTTGGTAATTTGATCTCGTCATAAATTATTTATACACAATAATATGTAAATTCATAATAATTATATGTACATATTTAAATACTTTCAGTGTATTAGTAAATTGTGTACAACTTATAATACAAGTAATATAATATATATGTATGTTTATGTACATTCAAATAATATTGTAGAATAATATGCATGAATGGAACCATAAGGAAAACCGTCACATATGAATTTTTAATTCCATATGGGGGAGCTTGTTATACAGCAGGACAGGTAATGAAAATTTTCTTTCAAATTCGTAAAAATCGGCATGTATGTATGTATATGTATGAATACATTATCTACACATAGCTTTATGTACGTACGAGCTTAAATAAGTACATATTATTTTATTGTATGTGTTAAGAATTTAAAACAAACATGTTGTAATCGTCTCATAATTTTTGTTATTTCATTGGTGTACAGTGCTTGAAATTCCCATACATGTATGTTCATACAAAGCCATTTAAAAGCCTAAGATTAAAATATAAATTAAAATTAAAAAAAGACGAAAAAGAAAAACTCAAAAATATGAAAAGTTAATAGAAGTTATCGTTAAAATGTGAAATAGATTAAGATCTATTAAGTTATAAGAACAAGACGTGTACATACAGCAAAGTACGGTTAAGTGCAACAACAAAAAAAGTGAAAATTACCATTAAGTCAATTAAGTGGATAAAGAATCTTATTGGTTTCGTCCATTCGTCTGTCAATTATTTCAAAATCCTGAATTTGAAAATTTAGCAGCTTTTAGACACTATAAAAAATAGTTTATTTTCTTTGACATTATTTTTTCAACTCTAACCTCTCCCAAGCTACCGCCTCTCAAAATTATATAAAATTTGAATTTTTGCATGTCTGCCTAAGCCCTGAATTGCCTAAACTATTTTTTTCCTTAAAATAAATCCATAAA